TACTACAACATATGCTATCACTGTTTTAATATAAAATACATTATTTCAAACATCTGGATGGCACCTGTGCTCCTCGGGGAAGACATCAAATTTATCCTGTGGCTTTGCACCGTAACACATTCTGGCCACCCATGCCTTTACCCAGGGTAGAAGGCCCCCACTCTTAAAAACAAGCTGATAAGCTGCATCCTCACTCTTCACTAGCTGCCTTTTCGGGGTGGGGGACTTCTATAGGAACTTTCATGGACCGCGGGTCTGAGGGACACCTTGGTGGTGACAGAGACTATTCATGTGCAAGGATCACCTTTCTCTCTCAGGTCCTGTTCCCAAGGGGAAGAAGCTGAGACTTGGTAAAGGGCCCTGTGGAAACTGCAGAGAGGCCCTCTTCTCTCGTCTAGGAATATACTTATTTATCCCAGGGCCTACAAAGGAAACTTGCGGTTGGATCCCAACTCCTACCCACCATCGAGGCTTCCTTCCATCCCAAGGAGGCCAGCTTTACCTACACTCACTTCCTCCACCTTCAAGCTCCCCAGGCCTCAGGAAAAGATAGTGATTCGCACCAAACAGAAAGTCCATGGCAGGGGACAGGGCAGGGCTCTACAGATGATGACCTAGAGGCTCAGGGAGAAAGTCACAGAGCTCCTCCGTGGCAGAGCTGGCTGCACCGCTCATAACGGACACTTTCCTGTGTAGCACCTGCATCCTGCTACCAGTCAAAGGACCAGCTCCCCAGGGACAGGGCCTGCCTTTTCGGCCCTCTTCCCTTGCACCCAGCTGGGCCTGTTGGGTGTTCTCAAGTGCTTGCTGAGTTTAATCACTGTCAGTAGCTCTCGAGTCCTTGAGACTCAGGGCTCTGCCCACTGGCTGATTTCCAGGGATTCTCAGACTTCCTGAAAACCCTGCCCAGGAGACAGGCCCTGCTCGGCCTGCTCTTCAGTCTGCCTCTGTCCCAGCCCTGAGGAAGACACGGCCTCAAATGGCAGCTTCCAACCCACAGGGCTGGCCTCCAGTCTCCTCCTGAACTGTCCTTCATACCCCGGCTAGGCTGACAGCTTGGTAGAAACATTCAGTCCTCGGCTACCGGGGGCAGAGAGGGATCAGCTGGAGGACTGCCCTCACCCACACTCCCTGCCTTTGCTTAGGTCATTGAACCAGACTGGAAATCCTCCCCTTCCTCCCTGACCTCAGGGCCCCCCTTCCAGGAAAGACCAAACTAGGACCTCCTGTCTTAGCAAACTAAGGAGAAAGGACTGTAGCAGTAGTTCTTAAACCTGGCTTCCAACAAAAGGGCTTTAAATAAAGTAGAGGTACCTGAGGCCCCACTTCAGCCCATTTAAGTCAGAATTTCTGGGGGGTAGGTGGGACGGGGGCTTGGTATTAGTATTTAAAGAATAACTTTCGGAGCACCTGAGTAGCTCAGTAGTTGAACGTCTGCCTTTGTCTCAGAACATGATCCTGGGGTCCTGGGATTGAGTCCTGCATCAGGCTCCCTATAGAAAACCTGGTTCTCCTTCTGCCTGTGTCTCTGCCTCTCTCTCTCTCTCTCTCACGAATAAATACACAAAATCTTCAAAAAAAAAAAAAAAAAGAATAACCTTCATGACTCAATTATATTTTCAGAGATAGGACTCACAGTAAGCACGAGGATGGTTATGCTGTCTGGTCAGACAAGCCAGGCCAGAAACCCATGGCCTCGGCATGCTTTATATCCCAGCATCACCTTCCCAGGGCAGGCTAATGCCTTCCTTTCCTTAGGGATTGGCCTGCTGGTTTAAGTCCTAAGGAACAGACCTCAGCTTTGTTGGGATCCCACAGGCAGGCAGAGCAGAAGGGAGCAGTCCGTGTCCTTGGGGTCAACTCTACCTTTTTCCTCTAAAAAAAGGATGCTACTGACCTCAGACTTGGTGCACTTTCACCAGAAACCCAGCCTCCCAGGAACCCTGGGCCTGTCCCTTCAGCTGTGATACAGAGCCTGTATTCCCCCCACCCCCACTTTCACTCTGGCGGACGGAGGCCACCCACTGGTTAGGGGCCAGAAGTGAAGCTGGGCCTCAAGGCGTCAGCCCTGTCCAGGGTCCTGACTCCTGGTCAGAGCACTTTTTTTTTCCTGCCCCACTGTACCTCACTCCCATGTAGAGGGAGCCCCTAGACTCATTGAGAAGGGCATCCCCTGGCAGGTCATCACAGGGGCAGCTTCCCAGTTTGGCATAAACCCAAGCCCAGCCCTTACTGTGGCTTTTGGCTCAACTACACACTGGTGTTGCTGCTATGCTAAGTACTCCTGGCCATCAAATCCCGCCATCACTGTCCACATGGAGAAATGAAGAGACTAAGGGAACCAGGGGCTCTCCACCAGGAGGGGACTGCACCATGCACATCAATTTACAAGTACTCTGGCTGGGACCCTGGGTAAGACTGGGAGCATGCTGTGTAACCGGCCTGGCAACCACCCTGCAGATGTCTTACTTCCTGGGGACTGGATAGGTGGGGTTCCCAGATCCCCTTTCACCAGGGTGACCAAAGCCCTCTGCCCTCAGGCCCAGCAGACTATAAAGGCCCTCCTCACCAACCCCTTCACAGAAAGAGAGGGAACAGCCCAGTGAGGAGATTTAGTGCAAACATTATCTGCAGCCAAATTCTTGCTTTTCATCTCTGCCTTCTCATGAGCCAAATAATTTGGAAGCTTTCATTGATGGTTTCCTCTCGGCCCCACGATCACTTGGAATTTACGCTGGCTATGGCTCAGCCTCCTCACTTAGGGGACGAGGGAAACCTCACAGGCTGCACTCCAGCCTGCTGTGGAAGGAAAAGCTTGTCCTTGGCGACAGTTCAAGGCAGGGAGGGCTTTTTCAGCCCTCCTGGAGCCCAGGACTTGAGGGCTGGTGTCTTCTGTTAGGCCTCAGGGCTGCCTGCAGAGGGCTCTGGGCTCGAACCCGGGGCCATGCACAACCAGTCCCCAGCAGGGCTTGGCATCAGCACCCCTACAATGATGTGACTCTATTTTTAGGTGGAGAAAGGTTCAAAGGCTCTGTGCTGGAAAACCCAAGAGGGAGTGGAGCTTTCAGCCCCATGCAAATCATTCTTTCCCCTCGGCCTTCACCAACACCTGTTTCCTCCCGGCCCCTGGCCTATCCAGAGTACAGATGGCAGTCCTGCCCCTGGGATCTCTACCTTGAGAAACGGCTCCACCTTCTCCTGGTGCTTGGAAAAAGCAGGGCAGGCAGAGTGGGGGGAACCAGCCAGCCCCAGGAGCTCCCCCAGAATGGCCCCACTCTTCTCCAACCTGAGCAGCCACTGCGAGAAGCGGCAGGCAGGATTCTGAGACAGGTTTCTCGTCTCCAAAATGGGCAGAGAATTCCTGTCTCCTGGGTAGGGGCAAGGCACATAAAGGTGGCTATTGTTTTACTAATGCAACCATAGCAACTGGAGAGCCCCAGTGGCTCTCAAGAAGGGGGTAGGAAGGCAAGAGGGGAGTGAGGGTGGAGGAGCAGAGAGGAGTCCCAGAGGCGCCCAGAGCTCTACAGCACACTAGGCCTCCCGCATCCCAGCGCTCTTGAGCACATCCATCTTCCCAATGAGCAGGGTTAGTCCAAGAGGGTGGTGCCAGGCACCTCAAAACAGCATCCCGTGTCCACCTAATTCCCAACTTTTATTCCGTCCTTACTGCATTTCCAGAGGTATCTCCTTCTATCTCTACCCTTACCCCATGGGGCCAAAGGAGGACACTAGGTTGGGGGATGGGGATGCGAGGCATTAGGTCTCAACCCCCACCACACACACCCACACACAAAAGGAGAGTCCTAGGGTAGGCCAGCTCAAGGAAGGAGGATGTGGGGATTTTTTTTTCAAATGCAAGATTCTGCAAAAGATGCCCCCACTGTCCCCAAGGGGCTGGCTAACTACTGCTGCTCAGGATTGCCCCCACAGCCATGGCTGCCCCTGTGGTTAGTAGGGAGGGCTCCAGGCTCAGAACAAAGGTACCCTCCCCCATCCCATGTCAAGGACTCTGCCTCAAGATTCTGGACCTTCCCACCCTTGGCAATGTTGGTTTTAAGAGCCTCTTGTGTTGGCTATATTACCCCGGGATCCTTAATTTCCATTGTAACAAGGATTGAGAAGGATTTTAAAAAGTGAAGCGCCCAGCCCAGCTACTGGCTACTCTGTAGGCTGAACAATGTCTCTGTTAAGGGCCAGATTCAAACCCCCTGAGCTTCTTGGGTGCTCTTGCAGCTTCTGTGCAAAGGGCCTCTTCTGTGCTCAGTGCAATGCTTTGAGGACCTAAGAAGGAGTGATGTGGCCCCTAGAGGTGATTTTTCAGGGGCCACAAAGAAGCAGAATCGTGATGTCCATTTGTGCTCAACACTACCCACTCCTGGCACTCTTCTCTACGGCTCGAGAAGTCATGAACACCTCAACCTGCCACAAGAAACATCCCAGGTCTAAGTAAGGAGGATTTAGAATGCAGATGCTTGTGACACGGGCATAAGGAGCAGATAACTGGATGATCCTGAGGGCCCCTGTATCAACATATCCCAGTGCCCTTGGCTTAGCCTCCCCCAAATCTGACTGCTTCTTCCTCCACTGCCACTACTCGGCATTCAGCCAGCACTGCTTCTCCCCTGGACAACCGCAGGAGTCCTCCCTGCTCGGGCCCTTGCCAGCATGGTCCCTTCTCCTCAAGGCGGCCAGGGCCACTTCTTTAAATCCTCCTTTTATTAAAACGTCAGGCTCTGTTATTACCCCGCTTACAATCCTTGAAAGGCTGCTCCTCTCGTGTAGCCCAACTGGAACATCTTTACAACAACCTACACGGCTGGGGGAACTGGCATCCACACCCCCTCCTCCCATTCGTCTCACTTAGCCACACCTGTGCCCTCTGCCAGGAATGCTCACCCCCAGACACCTGCAGGGCGTACTCCCTTGGTCTCCACAGGGCTCCACTCCTGTGGCTTCCCCACCACGGCTTCAGCTTTTCCCAGACACTTGTCACTACCCACCTCTGAGGGCTTTTTTTCGTTCTGCCGGGGCCAGCCCGACTTGGTGCTGCTGGGCAGTTTGGAGCATCTTGATGCAGATGTAGCGTGACCTGCAGAGAGAACACAGCCCATGAGGGGCCCCTAGAAGGCCAGGAACACCACCCACCCACCCACCCATCCACCCATCCACCTCCAAGGACAAGAAACCTGTAAGGCAGGCTCTGGTTCGAATGTTTAAAAGGTGGAAACCTCTGCGAGCGCCTGTCCCTACTATGGACCTCTCCAGGGATCAGTGCGGACAGGAGTACCTTCCTCCACTCACCAAGCATAGGGGCTTAGGAGATAAAACGGCAGTGACCAGGACTCAGGATCCACTTACTATGTGACCTTCGACAAGTCCCTTGCCCTCTCTGGTCCCCTGCTTCTTCCTTGGTGAAGAAGGCCTTCTGTGGCCACGCTTATTCCTGCCCCAAGTGGAGATACTCTGGGACGATGCCCAGTGAATATACAGAGGCACAAAAGGCCAGTGGCAAGAATGCTGCTCTAAAATAAACCCATTTGGGCAGCCCGGATGGCTCAGCGGTTTAGCACCACCTTCAGCCCAGAGTGTGATCCTGGAGACCTGGGATGAAGTCCAACGTTGGGCTCCCTGCGTGGAGCCTGCCTCTCCCTCTCTCTGTGTCTCTCATGAATAAGTAAATAAAAATAAATAAATAAATAAATAAATAAATAAATAAAATCTAAAAAAAATAAAGATTTTAAAAGTAAAATAAGATAAACCCATTTACTAGCTTGTCTCCCCAGGCAAATGACTTAACCCCTCTGGGGGCAAAAAGTTGTGAGAATTAAGTGATGTAAAGGCTTAGCGGAGTCCCCAGCACCGAGTGCAGCCTCAAGGAACATTAGCTAGTATTGCTGGACTCTGAGGCCCTTGCTGGACTATAGGACTGCAGCCTCTACCTGTGGGTCCAAGGAGCAGCAGCCCCGGGTAGGCATGCTGGCGGGGGGTTGGCAGGGGCTGGAGGGAAGGGAGAATGCCGCAGCCTGGCGCAGCTCTGCTGCAGCTGCCCAGACACCTGCTCTTGCGGGTGCCTGACCCTCAGGGGTTCCTCTGCCTGCAGCGAAGTTAGTAGCAGAGGATGCAGTTCCTCTTGGCTCTACCGAGACAAGCCACAGCCAGTGCGGTTGCGGCCACAGAGGGCCGGATGCTGTGATCTCCTGCCACAGGGAGGAAGGGATGGCCAGGTTAGACACCAGAGCCAAGCTGAGCACACAGACCCCAAAGGACAGTGAAATGAGACCCGGAGGTAGGGAAGGGGCTGGGAATGGCAGGCCGTCTTGGTGCATCTGTCCTCAGACTCTTGGGGGCTGAGGGGGCAGCTATGGGACTCTAAGAGCTCCAAGCAGCCTTGGAGATTTCCCAGATCCCAGCTGCTCACCACCTGTGTGAACAAACTGAGGTGCAGAGCTGCAGGCTCCAGGCCCAGCCTCCCTGGCAGTGTGGGCTCCCCACAGGATGCAGTGCTAGGTGGGATCCTCTTGGCAGTGTACCTTGCCTCCACAGGTAGGGCAGAATGGAATTCCTTACCCAACCAGCTCACACAGGCCCAGGTTCCTGGGGCATCTGGGAAGAGCTGTATGAGAAAAGCTCTCACCTTATCTCCTTATCACCTCCCTTATCTCCCCCCAAATTTGAGAAGAGGCTCCTTAAACCCTTTTCTCCTCCACAATCCCTGCGACCCTCAGAAGATGTCCGGCTTCCTCACCTGGCCCATTTACAAGTCTACCTCTGAGATTCTATTGCCTCTGACAAACATTTACTGAACATCTATTATATACCTGATTTAGTTGGGGACACAGCGATGAGTTAGACATGACCCCTCTTATCAAGGAGTTTCCGGCTAATTAGGAAATGATATTTCCATCAGGTAATTATAAAAAAACTTAATAGTTTTTCTGTCTCTTGTGTAGAGAATTTCTATAGGACCCTGATTTAAAATAAGGGCCAGAGAGAGAGGGATGTGTTTCTTGCAGCCTGGAGCAGCAAATGCAAAGACCCAAAGGGGATATGATCTTTTCCAACCAGACAAAACACATGGGATTGAGACCTAGGGGGTAAAGAAGACAGCAAGGCTCTGGAGACCACGGAAGTGTGGGGACCATCTTAGGAGCATAATGGCCTGGCCTGATTTATGCTTTCATCAACATTGAGACCATGGGTCAGCCTCCCCCCATCCGGGCCTGTGGGCCTGAGAATTATTCAAATGTTTTCCCTGTAGGAACCCCAAATGGAAGGCCTTACTGTCAGTGGTGTCAGAGTTGTCGCTGCTGATGGAGTATTTTCGCCTCTTCTCTTCCATCTGCAACAAAAGGCAGGCCCCATTATACTACTGGGAGGCTTGGGAAATCCTGAGTCTCTCAGAAAAAAATTGTCCAATAATCTACCTCCCCATACTCACCCTGGTGCAATGGAAGAATGAGAACAAGGCATTGCCCTAACCTTCTCCCCAGCCAGCCTCACACTCTCTCCCTACCCACCCACGGGAGCCTTGGGAGTGGGCCAGAAAGGGGAAGCAAGATTGATTCTTCCAGAGGGACTGTGCCATCTGAGTTTAGAGACCAGCCAGCTCAGACAGCACTGAAGGCACATCCTGAGGGTGGTGGGCAGAGGAGTGTGGAAAACGAGTAAGGACAGGGAGGCTCTAAGCTGGGACCCTGAGACGCACCAGGCCCAGGGTGACTGGCCCTAGGCTGGGCTGCCCTCCCTCCTGTAATGTCCTTCTCCAAATACGACTACAAACCAACTTTATCTTAACTATAGTATTTTATAGTTTCAATTTCAAGGTAAGAAAGGGAGCTCTCCACACTGAGCTCCTTCTGCTGCCAACACTGGCTCAGCTCATGTTCCTAACAACCTTGGAAGTTGTGAGCTATTGGCTTCCCTTACTAGCGACGTGCAGGACTTTGTCCGGCTAGTCACTGTCTGAACTGGGCTTTGAATCCACATGGTCTTATCCCTGAGCCCACGCTGAGCTGCCTTTGTGTCCTGTGAGCTCTTGCCTGTGGGGAGGGCTCTCCCACCCGGTATTTCCTTGGATCATACAGTCTGGGGTGGCAGCGCCTGCTTCGGTCTCCTCTTGGAGGGGAAGCATACTCCAAGTGGCTTGTTCAGCTGCCTCGGCTCTCACAGTGGCAGAGTCCCAGTGTGAGAACAGATCTGGGATTTGGGACCTGAAGCATTTTCTACCTCGTCCCTGTTAGTCTGGAACCTGGGCTGCCTCACTGCCCGTGACAAAGGGCAAAGAGCCAGTGTCAGCAAAGAGAAAGTCCCACTGCCCAGCCCAGCTGCAGGCCAACCAGGTTCCCCATCTCTGCTTGGGCTCACATGGGCCGCCTGCCACTGCCACCCACTCCAAGCCTGTTGGTGCCAAGCCCTGGGTTTCCCTTTATCTTCCTGTGGCCCTGCAGAGACAAGAGAACATTAGCTCTCTAAGGTGGGGCGTGACTATCCCGACCTCTGAGCAAACCAGGACCCTCCTGCCTCACTCAGACCTGACTTCAGCCAAGAGCTCCTCCCCACTCCAGGGTCCCCTAACAGCAGGATCAGGATGGCAGAGTCACCCGGGCTGCTCGCAGCCAGCTCCAAAGGGGCAGGTGGAACCCTGAGGACACCAGTTGCACGGGTGCCAGGAAGTTCAATTGCTAAACACTCATTGTGGCAGAAGGGGGATGCCCTAGTACACAGGGATCTCAGGGAGCCCCCAGAACAGCCCTTCTTTGCCAGTGGGCATGATGGCTGCTTCCCTTTTGCAGATGAAGAAAAGGAAATACAGAAGTTAAGTGACTTGCCTGAGATCGCAGGGCTTGTAAGAAGTGTATCTGGCTCAGGAACATATGCCCTTGATCTTTAGACTACTCTGGCTCTGTGCAGCAGAGTACGAGCAGCCCTGTGGCCCAGGTCATGGACGGAATGGGGCAATAGCGCTCTGGCACCCACAGCTGGCATCCTTGCTTTCCCCAGGGTCTGAGCGTGACAAAGAGGACTATGACAGGGCCCTGACGCTGGCCTGCATCTTACCAGCCCAGCACTCTCACAGGTGGCAGACAGAGGAGAAGGAAGACAAGTGCTATAAACACAGCCACTTGTTTTTTCCTGCAATCCTGCCCATGGATCCCACGTGTCTCCAATTCCAACAAAGAGGGTACCTCCAAGCCAGCATCTCCCAAAGGAGAAAAGCAGGAGCTCTGGATTCAGGGGTGTTGAGTTCAAATCCTAGCTCTACCTCGCAAAAGACCAGGGACCTTGGAAAAGATATACCTCCACAGGACAAGAATTTGATCTGGATTTTTACAGAAGTCTCCTGAACTTCCAATGTTGGCAACTGATTCAGAATTTTTAAAACACTTTGAGAGGGCCAACTAAACACATCAGCTGGTGAGAATAAACGCAAGCAGCATAAAGCCCTATGCACAGTGGCTGGCTCTCCTTACGGGTGCTAGTCATACCATGATAATCTTGGGCGAGGTGAGGAGACCTCCCACCAGCACCTACAAGGGGCTCCTGTACAGTAGGTAAGGCCGCCAGGAACAGGACTCCTTGACTGCTAATGCCCTTCTGGTAATGCGGTTTCCTGCTGCCTAGGGCCCTGTCCCAAGAGACCTGTCAGTGTGCAGACCTGCACCCCACCCTCAGCCGGCTCCCTGTCCAACCTGCCCTCTGTGGAAACACTCCAGAGTTCTCCTGGGTAGGCTGTTATTAAGGGAGCAGATTTCATGTGGCTTAATTGGAATAATAACTAGGCTTTAGAGGGAAGCTACTGTTTTGTGAGTGAAGCTTCTTTCCTTTGAACCAAGTCTGTTCCAAAGGCCTTCTCGCCGCAGGTAAGCCTCCGCTGGTGGTGGCTAAGAAAGCTCCAAATGAGGCCTGGGCTCTCCTATGGAACAGCCCTTTGTCCCTTGAACTGCTTCCTTCCAACTGAGCTAGGAGACTCGGAGGACTCCTTCACCAAAGCAGAAATCCAGGTTGGGTTGGTGGGTACTGGTGGGACAACTGGGTCTTGACCTCTGGTTTTCTCTCTTGACCTCTGGTTTTCTCTTTCCCCCCCGATCCCTTCAATCTCTCCCAAAGCAAGGTTTCCTCTGGGAGACCACCCCAGTGTCATAAGGCACTTACTTGGGGGAGGGGGGACAGGAGTGCTTCTGAGGCACTCCCTGTAAAAGAGAGTCTAGGAAAGAAAGACACCCCCCTTCCTTCCCTTTGCACCTCCCACACCATCCCCAGCATGGAGGCAGAGAGAAGAAGCTCTCCTCTGGGTGCGTGGGTGTCCTAGAGTTCCTTTAGAGAAGCAGCCCACAGCCTTTCTGTGCAATTTCTGCCCCAAAGCCAACCTGTGGCAAATCCAGTGGACTCTCCCTCCAAAATGTACAGTGAAGCCATCGCGGTTCCCTGTGTCCCTACTGCTACCACCCTGGCCCAAACCAGTCCCATCTCTAGCCTGGATTTCCCATTCATCTCCCAGCTCCCACCATCTAGAATCCACACAGCAGCCAGAATGACCTTTAAAAAAACATAAATCAGATCATGTCATACCCCTCTCTAAAATCTTTCAAAGGCTTCCTGCTGATCAAAGGACAAAAATCAACCTCTTGGCCACAATATCCTACATGATCTGGCCCCTCCCCACCTCAACCAGTTCACACGGACCACTATACCCTTCCTCACCACTTTCTAGCTACACTGGTCTCCTTTCATCTCCTGAAATAAGTCAAATATTCCATGCTTCAGGACCTGTGCACAGGGTGTGCTCTCTGCCTGGAAGGTTCTGTGTAGTCTGTGCATGTCTGACTTTTTATCTTTCACATTTCAGCTTAAATGTCAAGGAAGTCTATGCCAGTTACCTTATCTAAAGAAAGCCCACAACACCGTTATTCAACATCTTCAGAGCATCCACCGCAATTACCGTCTATAGATCTACTTGTTGAATGTCTTTCTCCTTTGGAGAGGACAGTAAGGAGTGCATCTGTCTGGATCTCGGCTGGAGCCCCAAGGCCCCATCATGTCATGCCCAGCACACAATAGGGGCTTGATATACAGGGAGTGCCGAGTATGTTCTTGTCCCCTCCCTGGAGAAGTGTGGGGAGCGCACAGCCCAGCTGGCCTGCCTGCAGCTTGCAGGAACAAACACCCCAGGCCAACATTTCGTCCTGTTTTCACAGCCTGCTTTCCCCATCTTAACCTCACACATTTTCCAGGAGGCTTTATTTGGTTGGGCTCCTGGCTAATGATCAATGTCAACTCAGTAATAGGGCAGCAATTTGGTGGCAGATGTTTTCTTGGCAGCACTAGCCATTGGTCTTAGTGGGGGCCTTGGGTCTAGACTTGAAACACCAATGCCCAATGCCAGCCCCCTTTAAAGACCTCTCCGCAAATAAACTCAAATAAACACCCTGGGCTTCCATTAACGCTCTTCCAGCTGACCCTGGGAACAGTGGGCCTTTCAGGTCTGCTAGCGCAGCCGCTCCCTGGGCAGTTAAAACATCCCAACCTGGCCTCCGGCCTCTCCTCTCTGGGGGCCACCAGGCCTGCCCTGCCCGCCACCACACACAGCAGGACTTCGTCTTCCTCCTTAAAAAAAGGAGGTGGGGGGAACAGCTTTCAAGCAGGCAATTTACCATTCCAGACACAATCTTTCAAAGAGAAACAAAAACTCTCCCTGTCTGAGGCAGACCGCTTAGGCGTGTGTGTAATAAGATGCTAATACAATTTAATGATATTTCGGCTGGAAAACCTGTCCTCAGAGCCTCCTTGTGTCGGGAAGGCCAGACATTCAGAAAACAAGAGCTGCACGCTCTTAAACCGCTTTAAGCGGGGGTCAGAGCCCCACTCTTTCCTATCTCTCATTAACTTTAATGCCTTCCCGGGGACGGTAATTGCATTTACAAAAATGATTTTGTACACACAGATCCTCAAACTTGCTTCTCCAGGCACAGGGCGCCTAAGCCCTCCTCCGACACTCATCGTTGCCCACCTGCAATTCCAAGTGTCCCAGCTCCCCTGGAACATACCCCAGCCCCCTAAACCCAGTTCTGGGAACATACCTAGGGGGTCCTGGAAGAATGAAAGGTGCTTTGTCTATTTTGTCCTTTGGCACCTTCTCACCCTACCCTCCACCTCAGAAGAGGGCAAAGCTCACTCCGCTCGCTCCCAGAGAAGGCTGACCATTGGCAACTGCAGGGTCCTTCCAATCCCTTCTTCAGAGAAGGGAGCTGGCTCTCTGGCCTAGCCTAAAGGGGAGAGATCAAAGGTCAAAGCTGCATTTGGGCCCCCTCCACATCATTAATAATAATAGAAATCGCCAATACTAATCACATGCTTACCACATGCCTAGTTTTGGGTTTAACCTTTATGCAATATGTTGCTTAATCCAGCTACCCATCATGGCAAGGTACTGCTATTAACCCCACTTGCAAATGAATAAAGTAAGGCACAAAGCAACTGTCACAGCTGGCGAATGCATAGCTAGCATTCAAACCCAGGCTATCTGACTCTAGGTGGTGTACCCTGCCCCCCACTGGGCTACCATGCACAGGCCTATAACCCCAGAGTGTGGCTGGGGTACTCCAGATTCCTATGGGTTATCTGAGAACCTTCCTGGGTTCCTAAACTGTGAGACACACACACACACACACACACACACACACACACACACACACACACAGGGTCCTATGTGGACGGAGGACAAAGCAGGCCAGGGGTCCCCCCTCCTCACAATCCTGGCCTTTCCTCTCAAACACTTTAGGGCAGAACTAACTGTGAAGTCTGCAAAAGAGTATGCTGGATGAGTCGTGAAGAATTTGGAAGTCACTGAATCCGGTATTGGATATAAGACAACTACCTCCCCATTACTTGGAACTCCAGTTAACCAGAACACTCTACCCATCCCCCCACCCTACCCCACTGCACCTCAAAGATGTGGTAGTCAGTGTCAAAGGTCTACCCTCAGGACTCTGGGGTGCACCTTGGGGGCTGGGACCAGCAGTCCCACGTCAGGTGTCAATAAACGCCAAGAGGAAGCTCTCTTGAATTAGTGTTACTGGCCATTTAGCCATGCAATTTAACCAAAGGAGAAGCATGCTGGATGGGAAATGTTCTGAAAACATTTGCTGCATCCCAAGTCCAAACAACTCTGTCCTTAAACACTTCATCTCCAAAAGTGCTGGAGAGACCTTTGGCCAAACAGTTTCAAAACCAACATCCACTGCAGTCCTGCTGCCTGGGGTGAGGACTTCCCTTTTCGAGGGACTTGCTGTAGAACCAAATGCTTTTCCACTCCAAACAACACCCAACAAACAGCACTTGGGACAACTGAGAGGACTCCAGATCAAACACCCCCTTCCCCCCCCCCCCAACCATGCAAACTTTCTCAATAAATTATTCGCCCACTTCGGATCAAAGCCTGTTTTGCAGCCTGTGACCTAAAAAGCAAATAGCATCTCTTAAACATGAAAGCCATCCTCCCTGCCTGGGTCGGCTTTATTAGTCATTCCTTCCCCTTACAGTTATTCTGTTGTTATTTTTCTTCTCTGCTTGTTATATCGCTCTGCAAGTCCCAACCCGCCTGAGGAAGAAAAGACTGGAGGGATGGTGCGTTCGCTTGGGGCCCGAAGGTGAGAGAGGAAGTCAGGGTAGGGGAGAAGCCAGCACCCTGGGAACCCAGGAAACAGGGCCAGGCCCGGTTGGCAGCTCCTTGCACGGCCCTTTTGCCAAATGTCCTACTGGGAATACTACCAGTGAAGGGAGGGAGTTAATGCCACTGCGGGAGGAGGGGCCAGGCGGCCATACCACCACCTGGGCCCCTGATTCAGTTTGCAAACATAAAATGTTAAGGGGACGTCCTGTCGGCTAGTCAGGGCTCAAAGCTCGGGGCTCCTCCCCCTTCCAACAAAGGCAGGGCGGCAGGCCAGTCGTGCCCTCTCCGCCGCTCCCGAGCGCAGACGCGAAGCCTCCCGACGACCCCCTGCAAACTCGGCCCCTGGGTAAAAACTTTGTGCCCGCAGTGGATGAGCGAGAGGTGCTAAGCGCGCGAGCAAGGTTTGGAAATCCGCAGAGACCAGAGTCGACGGGCGCAGCGCGCCCTTGGCTCGGGGCAAAGGGAAACACGGCCCCTCCCGCCCCCACCAGCCCCGGACACGAGACCCGCAGCCAAGGTGGTTACAAAAAGAAAAAAAAAAGAAAAAAAAAAAAAAAAAAAACCGTCCCAGCCCGCGGCGGAGGCTGAGAGGACTGGGAGGGGGTGGCGCGCCTCCAGCCTGCCCCTGGAGGCGGTCGGCGGGAGCGCAGGCTGGAGGCGCGCCGGCGTGATTCCGACCGCGGGAGCCGGGAGGAGGAGCCGGAGGTGGCCGCGGGGGGCTCCGGCCCCGGCGAAGGAAGGGCAAGACGCGGTGCGGCCCGGGCGGCGGGCTAGACGCCGAGGGCGGGGGGGGGGGCGCTTGGGTGAGGCGGGTAGAGGAACTGGGCCTCCGGGGAAGTGAAGTGGGCAGCTGCGTGGGGCGGGAGACCGGGTGTGCGGGGGGTGTCCTGGGCCTCTGGAAGCCACCGCCAAGCCTTCCTGCCCGTCTCGCAGACATCCCCGTCTTCTGATGTAACGGCTACGAATCGCCAAGCTGACCCCCTCTCATCCCTCGGCCTGGAGAAGAGTGTCTCAGGCCCAGGGATAGGCGGGAAGGACCGGAGGGAGCCACAAGTCTGCACCCAGGCGGGGAGGAAGCGGGAGGGAGCCGCTCCGCAGGCGCAGGCGAGTGGGTGGGAAGGAGGGAGGGAAAGAAGGAGGAAGGAGGTGAGGCCGGGAAGATGCCACTGCCGGGGGCGGGGCGCGGCTGGGGATCCGGGAGAAGGACTGCAGCGGTGCTCGGTGGGGGCTGGGGCTGCAATGTCACTTATTTGAGGGTCAGGTGTGTATGTCCCAGGCTGGCACTACCACTTGCCTACATCTTCCCGGTACCACCCAGGGCGCAGGGACGGAGGCGGAGGACAGGGGACTGCAGTACCGTCCCCGAAGCGGGACGCGAACCGGCAGAGTTGGGAGAAGGTAAACAAGGGCCACGCCCCCTGCCGTCGCCCCGCGGGCGCGCACCCGCCGCTCCGGCCACAGCCGGTACATTTCCACTCTCCCGGCGCTTCTCCCCCGCCGGACTCCCGCGCAGCCCCGCAGGGGGGGGGGCCGCCCCCGACCCCAGCCCCCGCCCCGTACGCCGGAGCTGCACACCCGGCACACTCACCTGGAAAGGGTGTCCCCCGCCCCTCCAAAACACTGTGTTTAATTTGTGCAGAGCCTCCGCGCCCGAGAGCTGAGCATGCTGCCCCCGCGTGCAGCGCCCGCGTGCACCCAGCCCAGAGAGGGGGCGACAGGGCGGAGGCGGTGGCCCCCGGAAGGTGTCTGGGACCGGACCCGCTGCACGTGAGCCCAGCGCGGAGTCATGTGCACCGGCTCAGCCCGGTTCGGCGGCCGGACGTGCTGCGTATCAACAAAATGAAACTCAGGGCGACAGGAGGGCAGATAGCTCCAGGTCCTCCGAACCCCCGTACCCGGCAGAACGACCTCCCCACCACTGCTGTCTCCCGCCGCAGCCCCTCCGCGCGGCCGGGAGTCCGCGGGGCAAGTTGCAGCCCAGGCGCGCCCCCGCCCGCCCGCGCCCCCTCACCGGCCCGGGGGCGCTTTGCCGCAGTCATTAATAAAGAAGGTCGCCAAGCTCACCCTTCCAAAAGTTGTTGTTGCATGCGCCCCTCTCAGCCTCCCCGCAATGTACTCTTTAACACAGGACTGACCAACATGCGCAATCTCTCTCCCCTGTGCTGTGCATCCCCCCCCCTCCGCGCCCTGGCTTCCTAGAACAGGCAGCCAGCAGGAGAGAGAGGGAGCGAGCGAGCAAGAGAGAGAGAGAGCGAGCGAGAGCGAGGGAGCGAGGAGCGCTGGCAGATCTGTTGCAAAAACACAAAATAACGCCGTGGAGATGCGCAGGGCCCATCGCTGGGGGCTGGATCTTACCTTCCTCCGCGGTGCCCTTCCGAGGGGCGCTGCCCTGGACTACGCGCCGCGGCGGGGGCCGGCGCGGGAAGGATGCTCCCGAAACCCGGAGCTCCTGGGGCCGGCGCGGGCGGGCGGGGGGCGCGCATCCATCCGGGGTCGCGGCGAGGGAGGCGGCCGGGCCCGTGGCGTCCCCGGCCCCGCACCCCTGCTGGGGACGGCCAGCCCGCTGGACCTAAGCCCTTGCCGCTAGAAATGGGCGCAAAGTAACTCCATGGACGCTACTCACCGCCCCCCCCAAAAAAAGCCTCCAACTGCGATGGCCGCGGTCGGCACCATTCACCAATCCCCCTGTGTATGTTTCTGTTTCTTTTTAAACCAAGACTTCCTTGTGATCTCTTTAGAAAAAAAAAAAATGTGTTGGGGTGGGGGTGGGGTGGGGGCGGGCGGGAGGAGCGAGGGAGGGGGAGTAGCCACTTTTTTCTTATTCACTCGGATCTCCACTCCTGACACCCCCCGTCGCCCGCCCCACCCCCGCCCAGTTGTTTGGCTCCGGCAGCGGGTCCAGGTAGCGTTGCAGGCCTCGGGGGGAGGGTGCTCTGCGGGTCTGCCCGTCTGCCTGCACCTCGGGCCCAGACTCCCCATGGGCTCTGGGGCGCCCCCAGCCCGCCCTGTCCCCAGGGCCGGGCCCGAGCGGCGGCTGCGCCCGTGCAAGTCCCATCAGGTCTGCTCACACTTCACACACTCACACATATACCCCGCCCCTCCACTCTCTCACTCACACTTTCTGCTCACACTCCGCCCCCTTCGCGCCCCAGACCCGGGCGGCGCCCCCCGCAACCTTAAAAAAAAAAAAAAGCAAGCTTATACTTAAAAAAATCTTTTGGCGCCATATTAATGACGTACTTAAAATTTGCCATTTCTCCCTGCGTCAAAAAGACGTTTCTTTGCAAATAACAGCCTGAAGGCGACACTCGCGGAGGGAACGAGGTTTGCACTGAGCACCCCGCCTCCCGGGGCTCCAAGGCTGGAAGACCCTCGCCCTAGGCCCTGCTCCCGAATCGCTAGTTTAAAAATGCGAATCGAATAGATCGCGCGGCGCTTTGCAGCGCCAGAAGTGAGCCGAAAGTGCTGGCAGGAGCGGAGGGGAGGGGCGCGCGCACGAGTCTGGGGGAGGGGGCGCGGCCCTCCTCCCCCACCCACAGCAGATGGAAACTAACATCCCGGGCGGGGGAAACTTGAAATTGTGGGCGACCTCAAAGAAGGAGGGCGGTCCGTGGAGAGGGTCCCTCTCGGGTTCGTGGCCCCCTCCCCCGCCCGGGTGCCTCCAGGCTCCCAGCTCTGCCCCGCATTTCCGGGGGGTGGGGAACGCAGTGATGGGTGGGTGGGTGGGTAGCTGCTCGTCCCTGTCCCTGTCCCTGTCCCTGTAGGAGTTTGCCCCGCGGTGTCCCCTTCCTCTCCCCACCTCGACCTTCCCATTACCCCTAAAGGGTTAAAAACCGAGGTGGCAACTTCCAAGGGCTGGCACTTGGCGAGGAAGCGGGGCGCCCCTCTCCCCACCCTTCGCCTCCTCGCCCCTCCTCCTCCGGCTCCACTTCCCGACTTGACCTTGTGGTGCACAAACAGTGCGCTCGGATCCTCGCAGTTTCTGGAAGAAGCGCTTGCGCTCGCCAGGCAGGCGGGCTGTCGGGCGGCTCGCGGGCGGTGGCGGGGCCTTGGGTCGGTTCCCGGAGCCGCGGGCCACACCCACCCAACCCGCTGCGCCCGCCGCGCTCACCTTCTCTCGAGGAAGGAGCTGGGCTGGCCTCCTGGATGAGGAGGTGTGGGGGGCAAGCTGCAGCCTTCTCCGGATGCTCCCAGCTGAGGAGGAGGAGGAGGTCTGGTCTCAGGCTGGGTTTGGTAGAGAGACTTGGGAGCCTGGGTCAACATCCCCAAAAGCATCGTTGCCAACTTTTCTTTCCCTCTCCCTTTTGGCTGCCCCTCAAAGATAATCCAATAATTTTTTCAACTCACCTTTGGCTTTGAAGACACATGGGTGAGTTGTGAACGGAGACCTGTTCCTCTCCAAGACTTAAAGTTGTTTATTCTTTCTTTCCTTCCCCTCCCCACTACCCGTGTATGTAAAGATAAATACTCCATTTAAGTGAGATGACATTTATGTGACAATTAAAAAGATCCCCCGATGGAATGTTGTGAACACATTTGCTTATAGGAGAAATAAATCTAATAATAAACAAACTCATAATAACAGCACAAATCCTCTGACAGGGTAGATTGTCTACACAACAAAGAGGGAGATGATGAATGCAGAAATAAGCACTTTTTGCAACAAGAAAGAAATATGAGCTCAAGGGGAGTCACTGCAACCTCTTCTTCCTTGGCCTTCATTCACAAAGTCTGGGGAGGCTTATCTAGCAAGATTGAGGAACTGGGGTACCACCTTCTGGTTAGACCTGACTCTAGCTCTGCGTGGTCAGTTGTTAGGATTTTCTCAAGCCCAAACTCAGTGCCAGAAAACATGTCACAGGCTGTTTGCATGTAACAAAATGGTTAAATACCTGGATTCTACTCTTGGGTTCTCAGTTGAGAAGGTACTTGATCTGAGCAAGCGCATTCATCTCTCCATCTCTTCTTCTGCAGAACAGGATGGCTAGAGGGTTCCTGAAGGGGTATGTGTGTATACATGCTTATATGTGTAAAGCAGGGCCTGGCTCAGAGTGCAAGGTGCACATTAGCACTTGCCCTGGTGCTTAAGTTTTGAAAAGGTGAATGGCTCCCTGAAAGTTCTTAACACTGAAAAACTGGAGGACAATGATTTCTGTCTTGCCCTCCATGAGGACATATACAAGATCTCCCAGTTAGGGCAAAAAAGAAGTGCAGAAAGAAACTGTCATACATGGTGGACTTCAAGGTCAAGGTCCAGATGGCAGTCTCAAGCACACACCTAAAGTGGGAATGGAGGCACCAATTTACAATGGCACAGTCTAAAGAAACCTCTCTGATTGGGTCTAGTGGCAAGGGGCTTACATGCACCAAAAGACTGGACAGGCTCCTACTTCCAGCTGTCAGGATCCTGTGAACCTTGGCAGGTAGTTACAAAATGTCCTAGAGAGATGGAAGAGAGACAAGACGACCACTTATAGAGTACCTGCTCTGTGCTGTGCAGTATGCAAGTCATCCCATTTCATCCTCACAAAAATCCCATTTTACCTGTTCAGAAAGGTTTAGTGAATTACCAGTAGTCAGACAAGCTAGCAAGTGATAGCAGAATTGGAACCTAGTCCAGACAACCCCAAGACTATGTGTTTTCCTTTTTACCACCCTGCCAGAAATAAAAAGTATTAGCATTATTGGTTTGATTGAGGATAGGGGCCTGATTGCTATAATAGCAAGAAAAAATTTTATGGGTAGCACTTTGCCTCTAAGGAGGTTCCTTGAATTTGGGTGAGACCCAGGTCCCCTAAGGAGTCCTTGGAAGGCACTTCTTGTTTAGGACTGGGAGTTCCATTAGAATCCTTGGATTCCCACTGCTCTCTGCTACTGTTTAAGTTTAACCTTGAAAATGTTAACAGAATCATAGCAATGGAGCTAATTATAACTCCTTAATCTTTAGTAAAAGTCTCACAAATCATTAACTTACTACAGGAAAAAAAATGAGAAGAAACATAAACTTCTTGGAGACAGAATCATTCACCTTTTTTCAAATATTTCAACAAATATTTGTTGAGTGGCTCCTGTATATCACACACCATTCTAGGGACCGAGGACACAGCACAAAAATGCCAGACAAAAATGCCTACTCTCATGGAATGCACTTTCTAGGGGAAAGAGAGATGAATTTTTTTAAAGTAAAATATTATATTTGAAAGTAAGTGCTATTCAGAAAAAATTAAGTAGGAAAGGGAATGTGGTCATGAAATTTAAATACAGTCCTCAGGAAGAGCTGTCTGAGAAGGTGGCTTCTGAAAAAAAGGAGGTGAAGAAATGAGCTGTGAGGACTTATGGGAGAAGAGCATTCTAAGCCAGAGGTTCTTGACATGGAGTCCACAGACAGCCCCTTCCAGAGATTTGTGGATAGAGATTCAAGGGGTCTTGACTTTAGATGGAGGAAAAATTATATCTTTATTTTCACTAATTAACATTTAGCATGTTCTTCAGTTATGAATGCAGATAGCAAATCACAGTGATAGTAGCAGCACCTGTGACACTATTGCTAGTAGAAATCACAGATATTTTCATATCACATTATGGTTGTTGCAAATATCTTAAAATATCATTACAGTTATCACTACTTTATAATTATGCTGCTAGCTCTTATAATTTAGTGAATTAATAAGAAACACATATATTATTGTATTACACATTTTAAAAATATTTTGAGAGTTGAATTTCCATATAATTGTTTTCTTTACAATTTATGAAAAAAAACAATTTGTGAAACTTATTTTATGGATTTAAAGATATTAGACTCAGAAGGAATCCACAGGCAGCACAGATTGCCAAAAGAATCCATGGTACAAAGTAAAAAGAACCACTGTCTCCACAGAGAGCAAATGCAAAGGTCCTGAGGCAGGAATGTGCTTATATAAAACTATAAGGAAGAGATTATATAGGGCAATGTTAGGAATCTGGCTTTTGCTAGGCATAATAAAGATGGTTTTGAGCAAAGAAGTGAAATGATCTGACACTGGATTTTACAGGTTACTTTTCTGCCAGATGGAGGATAGAATAAAAGCAGAAAGGCTGAAGCTGTAAGACAGGTTAGGAGGTCACTGTAATAAACCAAGTGAGAGATTATGTTAACATTCACTAGAGTGGTAGCAGTGGAAGTGATCAAATTCCGTATATATTGGGCAGCCTGGGTGGCTCAGCGGTTTAGTGCCGCCTTCAGCCCAGGGCCGGATCCTGGAGACCGAGGATCGAGTCCCACGTCGGGCTCCCTGCATGGAGCCTGCTTCTCCCTCTGCCTGTGTCTGTGTCTCTGCCTCTCTCTCTCTCTCTCTCTCTCTCTCTCCCTCTGTGTGTGTATGTCTGTCATGAATAAATAAATAAAATCTTTTTTTAAAATTCCATATATATTATAAAGATAGCTCTGACTTTTGTTGATGGGATGTGAGAAAACAAGAAGTCAAGGATGACAACAAAAGGTTTGTCTTGAACCAATGGAAAAACAGAATTGCCATTAACAGAGATGCAGAGACTGTTAAAGGAATAGATTTGGAAAATAAGGAACTCGGGGTTACATGTGGCAAGCTTAAGATATCTACTAGATGTCCAAATGCAGCCTTCTTGTAGGCAGCTAGAGACGACAGCCTCAGCCCAGGTGCATGTTTTGGGCTGAAGATATCTTTTCAGAGATGTCAGCAGGT